CGTTTGAAGACTAAAGTTGTCTGCCTTTTTGATACCTTGCTTTAGCAACAACCAATCAATTCAACTAGCTAATTATTCCAAATTTCCATTTTACTTCTTTTATTTCAAATAGCATCACATCTATTACTATTGATGTTAATGTATCTATAGTTTTATTTAATTACTCCAAAAATGACTTGAGGAAACTAATAATTAAAGGCTTCTCGGTACAATCTAATTGCTAAAATGAAAGTAAATATTATACTTGTATTAAATATAGAGGAAAGGGGAAAAAAGGTCTCAAACAGTCCCCTAAGTGATTATAATTACTGAGTAAACATAAGGTTTAAGTGAACTTCTTGGCAAACAAGACAGAGAGAAACATGAGTATTTATATAATATTCATAGTCTGATCAAAGGAAATATGTCTGTACTCTAGGAGCAAATTTTCTCCTCTGGACTACATTCTAAAAGGAATTACAGTAAGTCCTCACTTAACATCATAGATAGGTTCTGCAACTTTAAATGAAACGATGCATAACAAAACCAATTTTACCATAAGCTAATTGATGTAGACAAGAGTTAAGTTCCCACGGCATCTCATCAATGTTAAAATGAAACGATGTTGAATGAAATGACATTATTCGAAGACCTGCTATAATTTCATGGATTCTTAGACTGGGAACACTGAAAAATAACATATTGAGTTGTCGGAAAAATCATGACGCATGTTTGGGATAGATGGCACTAGTTCATTTTTGAAAGTACTAGAGTCATTCACATCTATGTTATTGCTATCTCATTTGACAGCTGACAGTTCTAGCTTCATTCAAAAAAAATTGAGTGATTTAGTTGAGTTTGGGAGATTTTACAAGTTGAAGATGGAAGACCAAACTGTGCATTTTTGCCATATTTTACTGTTTTACTTCAATAAATTTCTATTTATGTAACGTGTGTGAATCTTGTGAAAAGTTGCATAAAGTTTACGGTGACAATGCTCTATAAGAACGTCAGTGCAGACGATGGTTCACAAAATTCCGGCTGGTGATTTTGATCTCAATGATGCTCCTCAGTCAGGAAGGCCCACTGAAGTTGATGACAACAAAATAAAGGCATTGATCAAATCAAACCCATGTTACACAACACAAGAGATTGCAGAAACATTGAACATCCAACATTCAAGCATTCACAACTACCTGAAGAATCCGGGATATGTAAGCAAGCTCGATATTTGGGTTCCGCATGAACTCAAAGAAGTTCATTTGACAGTGTGTATAAACATCTGCAATATGCTCATTAAACATGAGGAAAACGATCCTTATTTGAAGCGACTGATAACTGGTGATGAGAAATGAACTGTTTACAACAAAGTGGTGGACAAATGGTCATGGTCTCCATGTGATGATTGACCTCAAACGACATTGAAAGCAGACACTCATGAGAGGAAGGTTATGCTCTCAGTGTGGTGGGGTTTTAAAGGTGTCGTGTTTTTCGAGCTCCTACCAAGGAACCAAACAATCAATTCAAATGTGTACTGTTGGCAATTGGACAGTTTGAATGAATCCATCATCCAGAAACCTCTAGAGCTTGTTAATTGTAAAGGAGTTGTGTTCCATCGCAACAACGCGAGACCACACACAAAATTGATCACCCATCAAAAATTATTGGAGCTTGGATGGGATGTGTTGGCACACCCACCATACTCACCTGACCTTGCACCGTCAGACTTCCACTTGTTTGGCTCTCTTCAAAACTCCTTGCATGGTATAACGTTCAATTCAGATGAGGCTGTAAATCAGCACCTTGTTCAGTTTATTGCTAATAAAGACAGGTCTTCCTATAAACGAGGAATTGTGAAGCTCACTGAAAGATGGCAAAACGTTATCAAACAAAACAGGCAATATATCATTGATTGATCTTTGCTCTTTATATAAATAAATGACCTTTGAAACACATAGACAAAATATGTCATGACTTTTCCAACAACCCAATAATATTTTCCTGTGTTTCTAGAAAATAAGAGTGCCCAAACTCTAAAAAACAGTGGGGATGTGGGAGGTGATAGAAAGAAAGAGAATTGATATTATTGGTACCTAAAGGTGACCTGTATTAGGTATTTTATGTTCATTATACTTTATCTTCACCCACATCCTATGAGTGGGTAATGATTAAATATAAGAACATGAGGATTTGTAGAGATTAAATATCCACAGTCTGTGTTATAGGTATTCACAATCATTGGTGTGTTGAGCATCAAGTTTAAGCGTATTGGTTCATATGGATTTCTACTGATTACTATGCCTAGAGCCAACTTCACGCCCCCTCCATGTCTTGGGCTATGCTGTCTCAATGCCACACTTACAACATAAGGATCAGAGAGAGACTTGCAACCTAGTCCCAGGGTCCAAATTCCCTAATACACATCTGACCAATCTGAGTCATTATGACCTCCTAAGGGTGCTGCCACCATTTTGACCGTGAATTTCATGGGTACCTATTGAACATTCATTCTGTTCAAGTTTCTAGGAATCTCTCTTCTCCTGTCCTTGACCTTATGTGTCACTTTTCTCTTACATCTGTCCCTCAGGGGCACAGAGATTATTTCTTTGTTGTGTTAGGCTTTTACAAGTGACTGAGGTTCTTTCTGCTCTGCAACTTGCAAAAATTCTGGTCTCTTAATTGAAATGAGATGAGTGAAAGCTAAATAACACAGTTATCTCAAGAAATAGCCTATAACATTGGTAAATTAAAAATAAAACCAAGGTATAGATAAAAAAAATGTGTGTATCATACTAGTATAGCACAGAGCTTGACTGCATGGTCTTAGGAATAAAACCAAAATGGCTTGAGTCACAGTTGTGCCACTTAGTTGGTTTGTGACGTTGGGTAAGTTCTTCCCTTCCTGCACCTCTTTCTGCTTTTCCAAAATGGATAAATATAGTGTTTGCCTAAGAAGACAATTTTGATGATTAAATGATATCATAAATGTGCTTAGCAAAAGGTCCAACATATACTATTGTTCAATCATTAAAATATTCCCAAATAACTTTCTCAGAGTACATGAGAAGTAAACCATATACAAAAGTCAACTCAAAATAGATCAAATATGTAAATGTAAAAGCTAACACTATAAAACTCTTAGACAAAAAAGAAACTTAGGGAAAAGGCTCCATAACATTGAATTTGGTTATTATTTCTTGGGTATTACATCAAAAGCTCAAACAACAAAAGAAAAAAGAGATAAATTGCACTTCATCAAAATTAAATACTTTGGTACACCAAAAGACACTATCAACAGAATGAAAAGGCAACCTGCAGAAACACAAAAAATATTTGCAAATCATATATCTGATAAGGAATTAATATCCAGAATATATAAGGAACTTCTAATACTCAACAACAAAATAACAAATAACCTGATTTAAAAATGGACAAAGAACTCGAATAGATATTTCTCCAAAAAAGATATGCAAATGACCAATAAGCACATGAAAATATGCTCAACATTATTAATCATTAGGGAAATGCAAATAAAAACTCCAAAGAGATGCTACTTTAAACTCATTAGGATACCTGTTCACAAACTAAACCAAAACAACCCCGAAACAGAAAATAACAAGTGTTGGTGAGGATTGGGGCCCTTGTGCATTACTGATGTTTGAAATATAAAATGGTGCAGCTTCTGTCAAAAATAGCATAGTGGTTCCTCAAAAAATTAAACACAAAATTACAATAAGATCCAGCAATTCCACTTCTGGGTACATGCTCCAAAAGAACTGAAATCACACACTCAAACAGGTATTTGTACACTCATATTCATAGTAGCGTTATTCACAATAGCCAAAAGATAGAAGCTACCCAAGTGTCCTTCAACAGGTAAATGCATAAAAAAAGCATAGTATATACATACACTGAGATATTACACAGTTTTACAAAGCAATGAAATTCTGAAATATGCTAAATGGATAAACCTTGAAGACGTTTGAGCTAAGTAAAATAAGCTAGGCACAAAAAGATAAATAGTATGATTCCACTTATATGAGGTACATAGAGTAGTTATAGTAAAAGAGACAGAAAGCAGAGGTGGTTACCAGGAGCTGGTGTAGGAGCATAGGGAGTTGTTATATCCTCTACCCGCACGGAATTTCAGTTGGCGAGATGAAAAAGTTGTGGAGATGGATGGTGGTGGTGATGATTGCATAACAATGTGAATGCACTTTACGCAATAGTACCGTACACTTAAAAATGGTTAAAATGGTGAATTTTATGTTATGCATATTTAACCACAATAAAAAAGTAGACTGCTTACTAATATTCTAGAATCATAGGCAGAAATACCTCCTCTCCTACTGAGAACACCAAATTCAAACTAAATGACAACTCGAGACGCATTAGCTGTAACTGCAAAATAACCTACACAAAATAACTCTAACACATGTTGTAAGCTCAAGTATGTGTTCCATTAGTTTAAGGATATGTTTATGATAAGTTACGAAATTTCCCTTCCACTTACTGGTGTTCTCAGTTCCCAATTTTAGCCTTTCATTTTGACCAAAAAACACATTTTTCCCTGGAGTATTTTGGCCTTTAACTGCCCTTTCTGGCTAATGTCATAGATCATCTAGCAGACCTGAGAATTAGCTAATTCTGAACCTTATTTTTAACACATGTACATTTAAGATTAGCCCTGGGTGGCATTGTTAATTAGGAGAGTTTTCCCTCTAATTATATATATATATATATATATATATATATATATATATATATATATATATATATATATCCTTTTTCCCCCTCCAGAAACTTAACTTACAATACTTGACCCAGGTTATGGGACTTAGTTTCTTCCCCCATCAATATTTATCTTCTGCCCCATTTTAGAAAGCAAAACTTTCTAGTAAACTCTCAGGCAAAGTAAATTAATGTTTGATAGTCGCTTTTAATATTTCCCATATTTTTACATTTTTATTAAATTTATTGGGGTGACACTGGTTAGCAAAATTATATAGGTTGCGGGGGCTCGCGATGGCGTGGGCGGCACAGTGCTTGTGAAACAGAACACAACCAAAGTATGGATATGGGAAACCAACATCCTTCCATTAGCAGGCTTCAGGAAATCCAGAAAGAAGTGAAAAGTATAGAACAGCAAGTCATTGGCTTCAGTGGTCTTTCAGATGACAAGAATTACAAGAACCTGGAGAGGATGCTCACGAAACAGCTTTTTGAAATCGACTCTGTAGATACGGAAGGAAAAGGAGATATTCAGCAGGCTAGGAAGAGGGCCGTGCAGGAGACAGAGCGTCTGCTCAAGGAGCTAGAGCAGAACGCCAACCACCCGCACCGGCTGGAGATCCAGAGTATCTTCACAGAAGCCCAGTCGCTGGTGAAGGAGAAGATTGTGCCATTTTACAGTGGCGGCAACTGCGTGCCAGTGGAATGCGAAGAAGACATCCAGGATATCATTCTGAGGCTGACACACGTGAAAACTGGAGGCAAGATCTCCTTGCGGAAAGCACGGTATCACACTTTAACCAAAATCTGTGCCGTGCAAGAGATTGTCGAAGACTGCATGAAAAGGCAGCCATCCCTGCCACTGTCCGAGGACGCGCATCCGTCTGTGGCCAAGATTAACTCAGTGATGTGTGAGGTGAACAAGGCCAGAGGCACCCTGATCACGTTGCTCATGGGCGTGACCAGCAATGAGACGTGCAGGCACTTATCGTGTGTGCTCTCGGGGCTGACTGCCGACCTGGACGCATTAGACGTGTGCGGGCATCCCGAGATCCGCAATTACCGAAGGGAGGTTGTGGAAGATATCAACAAATTACTGAAGTATTTGGATTTAGACGAGGAAGCTGACAGGACCCACGCGTTTGACCTACCGCAGAATCATTCCATTTTAAAAATAGAAAAGGTCCTCCAGAGGATGAGAGAAATAAAAACCGAACTCCTTCAAGCCCAGAATCCTTCTGAACTGTACTTGAGTGCCAAAACAGAATTGCATGGTTTGATTGGACATCTGGATGAGGTAAGTCTTGAAAAGAACCCCTGCATCCGGGAAGCTAGGAGGAGAGCTGTGATTGAAGTGCAGACCCTCATCACTTACATTGACTTGAAGGAAGCCCTTGAGAAAAGAAAGCTGATCGTGTGTGAGGAGCACCCGTCACACAAAGCCGTCTGGACTGTCCTTGGACACTTGTCTGGAGATCCAGGAGGAAGTCTTCTCATTTGACGGAAACCGAGCTGATAAGAACTACATCCGGCTGGAAGAGCTGCTCACCAAGCAGCTGCTGGCCCTGGATGCCGTGGACCCGCAGGGGGAGGAGAAGTGCAAAGCCTCCAGGAAGCAGGCGGTGCGGCTGGCCCAGAACATCCTCAGCTACCTGGACCTCAAATCGGATGAGTGGGAGTACTGAGGCCCCAGAGTCTGGCGCCACACTTCCTGTTTTGCACTTTACTTGGCCGTCTATGGATTTACAGAGAGTGTTTGGTTCCCTGAGCCTCCATGTGATTTATACATGCACAGTTCAATCTCAGTATTTATGATTTTAGCAAATTATATTCAGTATCTGCTGCTTTTGATGTTGCAAAACAAATACCATTACAGCACATTAACTTTTCCATTGGATCGTTATCTGTATGTTGTGTGGTGTTTTTTTTAAAAAATATCAAAATGGAATAAGGGCAGCTTTTGTAATTTTTAACTGGGTTGTACAAGCATTAAAATGCAGATATTTCAGATCTAGCACTAGACAGCCTTGCGTAACACTAGAACAATTATGAGAAGGGAACATTTTTGGTTAAATAGAAGTAAGGTCCAAGCACAAAAGCAGCACACTGTGTTTTATTTAGTATGCTAAATAAAGCAGGACTCTTTCATTTGTAAAAAAAAAAAATTATATAGGTTGCAATTGTACATTTCTATAATACATCATCTATACGAGTATATTGCACTGTGTGTTCGACAACCAGAGTCAGTTCTCCTTCCATCACCATACCAGAGTGCAAAAAAAAAATTAAGATCTTTATCTTAAAATGTGTATACATTTTTTGGCACCCTTTGTATATTTAACCCCCTTTTCCCTCTTCTACAACCCACCCCTTCCCTCTTACCCTCTGGTAACCACTAAACTGTTGTCTGTGTCTATGAGGTTTTGTTTCTTTGTCTTGTTCATTTGTTGCTTTCAATTTTATATCCCACATGAGTGAAATCATACGGTTCTCGACTTTTTCTGTCTGACTTATTTCATTTAGCATAAAAATCTCAAGATCCATCCAATTGTCACAAATGGCAGTATTTCATCTTTTCTTATAGCCGAGTAATATTCCATTGTCCCATTTTTCTTATGATTTACATTTTGACATGAGCTTTCAGTACTTCATCCCAAACAGATGATGTGAAAATTTCAATACACCACAGCAATGTTAATAAACAAAATTATAAGGAATAAATGGAAGATAAATCTTTGTGGAACTCAAATTATAAGAAGGTTGCTGCCTATTCCATCTAGATGTGAGACACACCTTATATAAAACAATTTGTTTTTTCTCATAAAAACTGTGGAAAGACGGGACTAAAAAATTTTACCTATGTGTGATTTCTTGACATATTTATTCAATACACTCTGATATAGTTAATTCTGAATACTTTTTAATGACTGCTTGAGAGCAACCCCTCGCCCCTGCCGTCCCCACACACACTTTTCTTCTTTGATCGGGTGAATAACAGAAGAGTATGCTGATCAGTGCTCACTGATAATAAAAGACAAAGCAAACATGGTATTTCAGAACGGAAAAGATACTCCTTTTTTGAGTGTATGGTGATGGTATTTCTAGGTAATATCATAGAAGGCTTATTTCTCAATTTGAATAGGGGGACCTACCAAGCTGCAGAGATTGGCCTTGACCTGCAGGCATGGCACAGAGTACAGAAAATGGTACTAGGGCATTAGCATCATGTTGTGCTCATAATTTTTTTTTAATTTACCTTCGGCAGTGCAACTTTCTCTAATGCTTCTCCTGTGGCCATGCTGTTTTTAATTCTGGCATGTTTTATTTTAAAAAGAACACAGCAGCAACTGAACTCTAGAGAAAAAAAAACCATCCCCAACTCAGTTGTCTTTAACAAAAGAAGAGATGTTGTGTTTCCTTAGGGATAGCAGAAATAAAAGTTGCACCTCAGTAAAACCCTAAAGGAATAAGGTACATTAAGGGACAATTATTTCAGTTTTCCAATATCATGATTCAATTCCAAAAGAGACATTTCTACACATGGAACATCAGTAAACGAACAGTAGAGCAGCATTCATATATTGTTGCAAAGAGAAGTTTTGCTAATTTCCTTCTTTTCATATTCTTTTTACTTCTCTTATTTTTAATAACTACTAGTCACTATTGATTTTAATTTCAACTTACTTCCTATTCCAACTGCTAGATTTACTCCTCTCACAGTTTAACTTAATCTTTTCATCTCAGAAAGTGAACTTGGCTGAAACAACATTAAAAATAGAGCTTATATTGAAGGATATTGGCAAGCAGGATTAACAGGGCATTAATTACTACAGGTACCTGGCCTCCCCACCTAGAATCACTCCGGCTTTGTGGGTCAGTGCCCTGAACACCATAGGCACCCGCTGAGTTCCTACTTGTTTGCTCAAGCCACCCAGCAAACACAGCCTACACAGAGGCTGCTTCTACAAAAGGCCACTTCTTCGTGGCTGGGAGAGGTCGCTATTTTGTCTAGTTCATATAAACAAACACAGAAAGTCAAACAAAATAAAAAGACATAAGACTTTCTCAAATGAAGGAACAAGAAAAATCTCCAGGAAAACAAAAAAAACAAACAAACAAAAAAACCTGAGAAAACCTGAAAATGTTAATGGCCATGTGTCTTTTACTGTAATAATTTTTTTTTATTTAAATATTCACTGTATGCTTTGATGATTACACACACACACACAGTGGCAAATAAATGTATACACATCTTAAGAAAGGAAAACTATTAAAATTTTAATATTCAATATATACTGATAAAAAAAAGATGAATACAAGTCACGTTTGACTTCTGCAATTACAAGAGGCGCTCAAAGTGGTTACCATGAGCATCCAGGCACTTTTGATTACAGTGAACTACCGCTTGAGCAACGTTGACCAAAGTGTCCACTCGTATACACTTTTTTGGCACCCCTGGTATATATATACAGAGGGAGCCTAAAAATACATACACATTTTAAGAAAGGAAAAAAAACTGTATTAAAATTGTAATACTCAATATATACCAATAACAAAAGATAAATACAAGTTATATGTATACATGTTTGGGGCACCCCCGGTATACACACACACACACACACACACACACACACACACACAATGAAATATTATTGAGCAATAAAAAAGAATGAAATCTTGCCATTTGTGACAACATGGATGGACCTAGAGAGTATTTTGCTAAGTGCAATAAGTCAGATAAAGACAAATAGCATATGGTATCACTTATATGTGGAATCAAAATAGATGAATAAACAAAGCAAAATAGAAACAGACCCATAGATATAGAGAACCGATGGTTGCCAAAAGGGAGAAGATGAGAAGAAAAAGAAAAAGAAAAGGCGGACCTGAGGCTTTTCCCAAAAGGAGAAGATACAGTTCCGACCTAAAGGATGTGGGCCACCATGACAAAGAGAAAAGAGATTTCACATGTAATACGCAAGGGCACTAATATTCAAATGGGCTATTCTTCTATGTTTCTTCTCTCTAAAACTTACACGAGATTATACTTTTGGAAAGGTAAAGATAAGACAGGGAAAATGCCATGTATCCTACACTAAAGACGTGAAGTGGACCCTGTCATATTTTCCTACTAAGTATATTTGTGAGGGAGTTACTTCTGAAAAACTCTCTTTCTGGGTTAGGTCTTCTCTAGGGCAAAGGAGATTTAACATTTACTTCTAGAGAAATTATGAATTATACTGTGATCACCAATGTCATCTCTAAAAACCAATTAGTTAGTTGTCAAATTAATTTTTTAAAAACATAGCCATTTACTTACACATTGTGCCCTGGGCCAGAGAATAGGTCATTTCTATCCTAATTGTTTTGAAGAAAATATATGATGCTTCTGGGCCATACTCTCCAGTCATCATTGCAGAGGACTTCAATGAGTATCATAGCTTAGAGCTTCCGTCTGAGAACTCTTCAGAGGAAAGTAGATTTAACTTCTCTCATTACTTTCTATCATGTTTTCTTTGCTTTAGACCCTAACCTTATGCTGTATAATGATCACTTTATAATGAATGAACTTTTGTCATAACGTAAATGCCTCTTGCTTCTCCCTATATTTCTAATGCTTGGGGGCATAGAAAGCATGTGCTGTGATTTCATACTGAAAATATAGAAAAGGCGATTTCCAAATTATGTAGCTCAAGTAAATTCAAGCAGTCTATTCAGAAGTAATTGTCTGAAAAACAAATATTAGCTAATGGGGGTGAGGAGCAAGATTTCCAACATACACAATGAAGCCATTTTATGAATCTCTCTTTGTTGTTCATGCTAAAAACTTCATTTGAAACACTGTTGTAAATGTACAAACTTACAGGAGACACTGACTTTAATAAGATCCACATGGTACCTTAATGATCAAATCTTGTACAAGATTGAGTACAGAGTTCCTTCACATGAATGTTGCCAACTAAAAAAAAAGGTTCAAAGACAATTTCTGGATATATCATATTTCTTGATTTCGTTTTTCACATTGTGAAATCAAAATGCCCCATAGGGCCGGCCGAGTGGCGCAATGGTTAGGAGCTCGCTTGGGACGCCGGAGGGCCCCGGTTCGGATTCCACATGTGAGGGCCAGTGACACTGCCCTCTACAGCTAAGATGCTGAACAACAGCTCCACCTAGACTGAAGAACAAAACGACAGCAACTTGTCTGTTCCCCTTCCCCCAATTCCCCAGCACTGTTCCCATCACCCCAATTCCTCAATAAAAAAAAATGCCCCATAAAATTGATGGTATGCTAGAGTTTAATAAATAGAATGCTTTCTTTTCTTTCTTGGTGTGAAAACATAATGCATCTTACAATTGAAGGTATCTTAGGATTGATAAAATATGGTATTACCTTGCTATTGTTACTGAACCAAATTATATATGCTTTACTTTCTACTTGATTATTCAAGCTTCCAAGAAGGAGAAGTTTCTGCCCTAATAACTTCCTGAAACCTGAAATCATAATTTGTATTTGAATCTTTGCTTATTATAGTCATAATTTAATCTCATGTCTCTTTAGTGTAACTCTCTTTCATATAAAATAAAATACTGTATGGATTGGTATGCCACATCCACACTTTAACAGATATTTATTGACTAGACTAGATAGACAAAAGCATCAATTATGATATTTGACTCAATTTTTAGTCAAGTACTTCCTCTATTGTCTATTATAGAAAAATTCTTTACCATAACAGCACTAATTGTACATTAATTTACCAATGCCAAACAAACCCAAATTAAGTTACTAAGAACATTTTAACTTTGGCCTTAAATTTTAACTTGGTAGAGATTTTATATATATATATATATATATATATATATATATATATATATATACATATATATATATACACATATATACACACACACATATATACATATATGCAATAAATGACAATGATAAAAAACAAGTTTTAATGTACTTCAGTTGTCATCAAAATGTTATTTCGAAATATAGATTAACATTTACCATAAAAATTCAGACAATAATTAAAATGATTTATCTGTTAATCTCTCTCTCC